TACCTCATCAGTATAACTGCCGCTAATCCATCTTGTTACATCATAGTGATAGAGTTTACAACACATAAGGAAATCACATCAGATTACACAATCGTAAATACTGGGAATCATGACCCAGCCAAGTTGACAGATATTTTGGGGGGACACAATTCAATCCATGACAGTAAAGTAGAGGGTCAGCAAAAAGGAGGAGGACCCTCTATGAGATGGATTGACACAGTGGCTGCCACAATGGACTCAAGGATAACAACAGTTGTGAGGATGGTGCTGGACCGGGCAGTGTTTCATTCTGTTGTACAGAGGGTGACTATGAGTATAAAACACTTAAGAAACACTTCCAAACCATGCAGTGTTATCATGAGTGTGTGCGTTCGTTATTGCGAGCCATTGTATTTAACTCAGTTTTTTAATATAATAGGATTTATGGCAGTCTGTTGTTAAGTACAAGTTGTCAGTAAGTCGGACATTTGTAACTCTAGGACCGCCTGCATTATAGTGTTTGCACAACATCCAAATCATATAATGTCCTGTTTCACAGAATGTACCGTGGACTGTAAGTGACACTTGATTGTATTGAGTCTTTTCGTCTCTTCAGTGAATGTGAAATACCTCTAGATTTGGTTAGATCTTCTTTGATTTCTTTCATCAGTGTTTTGTAGTTGTAAGAATACAGATTTTGTGTATATTTTGTTGAATTTTATACCCAAAATAATTTCATTTGTGGGGATGCTTTTATGGTTTGAATTGTGTGTCCCCAAAAATGTCTGTCAATTTGGCTAGGCCGTGGCTCTCAGTATCGTGTGGTTGTCTACCATTTTGTGATCTGATTTGATTAACCTATGTGTTGTAAATCCTAACCTCTATAATGTTAATGAGGCAGGATTAGAGGCAGTTATGTTAATGAGGAAGGACTCAATCTACAAGATTAAGTTCTATTTTGAGTCAATCTCTTTTGATGTATACAAGAGAGAAGCAAACAGAGATGAGGGGGCCTCATACCCCCAAGAAAGAAGAGCCAAGAGCAGAGCACATCCTTTGGACCCAGGGCCCCTGTGCTGAGAAGCTCTTAGACCAGAGGAAGATTGATGACAAGGACCTTCCCCCAGAACCGAAAGAGAGACAAAGCCTTTCCCTGAAGCTAGAGCCCTGAATTCAGACTTCTAGCCTCCTAGACTGTAAGAGAATAAATTTGTTTGTTAAAGCCATCCACTGGTGGTATTTCTGTTGTAGCAGCACTAGATAACTAAGACAGATGCTATTGTAAATTGTATTATCTTTTTAAATTTAGCTTCTAATTGTTCATTGCTAGTATATATAAATATGATTGATTTTTGTATATTGACTTGCATCCTGTGGCTTTGCTACACTCGTTAGTCCTAGTAGCTTTTTTGTAAATTATTTGGATTTTCTACATAATCTGTTGTGTGCAGATAGAAACAATTTTATTTTTTCCTTTTCAATTTGTATGTCATTTCTTTCTTTCTTCCTTTTTTTTTTTTTTTTCTCCTGCTTAGTTTCACTGGCTAGGACCTCCAGTATGATTTTGAATAAGAGTGATAAGAGCAGATTTCCTTGCCTTGTCTTGTTCTAATCTTTGGGATGGGAGGAATCATTCCGTCTTTCATCACTAAGTATGTTAGCTGTATGGTTGTAAATTCCCTCTATCAGGTTGAGAAGTTCCTTTCTCTTCCTAGTTTGCTGAGAATTTTTATCATGAATGTGTGAGTTTTGTTAGATGTTTTTTTCTATAGCCATTGAGATGATCATGTTTTTTTCTTCTTTAGTCTGTTAATATTTTTGAAAGTTGATTTAGCCTTGCATTCTCAGAATAAACCCCACTTGATCATGATCTGTTATCCTTTTTATGTATTGTTGGATTTGATTTACTTGTATTTTGTTAGGGATTTTTACATCTATTTTTATGAGGGATATTGGTCTATAGTTTTCTTTTAATGTGTCTTTGTCTGGTTTGAGTATTATGACAATGCTGGTTTCATTAAATAAGCTGCAAAGGGTTCCCTGTTTTTTTTATATTTTTGAAATATTTGTATAGAATTCATATTTTTTTCATAAATGTTTGAAAAAATTCCTGATGAAGCTATCTCAGCATGGGGATTTCTATATTAGAAGGTTTTTAATTACAAATTCAATTTTCAAAATAGATAAAGGATAGTCATGTAAGATACTCCACTGGTCTCACCTTGTCTGGAGCAAGGGAGAATGAGAAAAACCAAAGACACAAGGGAAAGATTAGTCTAAAGGACTAATGGACCACAAGTACTATAGCCTCTACCAGATTGAGTCCAGCACAACTAGATGGTGCCTGACTACCACACCAGCTGCTCTGACAGGGATCATAATAGAGGATCCCGGACAGAGCTGGAGAAAAACGTAGAACAAAATTTTAACTCACAAAAAAAGACCAGACTTACTGGTCTAACAGAGACTGGAGAAACCTTGAGAGTATGGCCCCTGGTCACCCTTTTAGTTCAGTAATGAAGTCACTCCTGAGGTTCACCCTTCAGCCAAAGGTTAGACAGGCCCATTAAAAAAAAAAAAGAGACTAAATGGGCACACCAGCCCAGAGGCAAAGAAGGCAGGAGGGGACAGGAAAGCTGGTAATGGGGAGCCCAAGTTCGAGAAGGGGAGAGTGTTGACATGTTGTGGTATTGGCAACCAGTGTCACAAAACAATATGTGTATTAATTATTTATCGAGAAACTAATTTGCTCTGTAAACCTTCATCTAAATTACAATTAAAAAATAGATAAAAGATAATGCAAGTTGTCTATTCCTTTTTTAGGTAAACCGTGGCAGTTTCTATATTTCAAACTATTTGACTGTTTGATCTGAATTACTGAATTTATGGCATAAAATTTTCATAGTATCCCCTTATTTTTTGGTTCAATGCCTTTAGGATCTGTAGTGAAGTCCCCTTTCTTTCATTTCCTGGTATTTGTAAGCTTTGTCTTCTCTTTTTTCTTGGTCAGTCTGGCTAGAGGCTTATGAACAACAGTTACTATAAGTATTCATTATGTTTTCTATACCGTTTAAAAAGCTTTATATGTATCATTTTATTTGAATATCCAAGAATATATAAGATATTTCCTAATGTTATCTCTTCTACAGATGAATAAACTAAGGCCTGAGGATGTTAGGAAACTTGCCTATAGTCTAACAGCCAAAATGGTAGATCCAAGATTGAAGCCCAGGTCTGGCTGACTCCAAAGCCTTTGTGTTTTGTTTTTAATTTTCTTTTTAATTGTACTTTAGATGGTTAATAGGACAAATTAGTTTCTCATTAAACAATTAATACACATATTGTTTTGTGACATTGGTTGCCAGCCCCACAACATGTGAACACTTTCCCCTTCTCAACCTCGGGCTCCCTGTAACCAGCTTCCTGTCATCCTGTCCCTGCCCCTGGACTGGTGTGCCCATTTAGTCTCATTTTATTTTATGGGCCTGTCTAATCTTTGGCTGAAGGGTGAACCTCAGGAGTGACTACAGTACTGAGTTAAAAGGGTGTCCAGAGGCAAAGCATTTGCTTTTGACCACTCTTCTTTATTCACTGGTATAATGAACAAATCAAAATCAGCCAAGATGTATGAAGGGAATCCACTCCCTCATACTGTAACTGAGAGCAAACTTTTGATTTCATCCTTGGGCTATAATACTATTCTCTGTCTTTGGATCCTTCTTTGTAATCAGCATGTATTATAAAACTTCTTTTGGTTATAAGGTCTCCAGAGATCTGTTTGCTCCTTCCAAAAGCTTACATCATTTAGACAGGGCAGCTATCAAGGAGAGGCAAAAAACGGGGGGACTTCTGGTTGCCACAGAATATTCATTAACACATCTTAGATTTTCAGGACGTGGGAGCTTCTGAGACCTTCCAGTGACTGGACACTTAAGCAATTGTTCTGATACCATCCCTCCTTGGTAGACATATCTTGGTAGTCATGCAGGCATATCTTCTCTTCATAGATATAAGATATGATTTTGAAAATAAAAGTTGACATAACCTGTTTTTCCTCAGGTCTGACAGTAACTGCTGTGAAGGACTCAGGAGAATGGAATTTGGAGGCTGGGGCATTAGTACTTGCAGATTCGGGTCTTTGCTGTATCGATGAGTTCAATAGCCTCAAGGAGCATGATAGAACGAGTATCCATGAAGCAATGGAACAACAAACCATAAGTGTTGCTAAGGCTGGGTAAGAGTTTGTTTGTTTGTTTTTCCTCTTTAAATCTATGGGAATAGTGAGATTATTTAATATATGATTACAAAAAAATGTGAACCTTGATAGGTATATTTGATTGTTTCAGGAATTATCAGCTATCTCTCTTAAGATATATGTTAAAGTTTTCCCTTATTAGACTATGCAGGTGTATGGGGAAGTAAAAATGGGTTGTTGGGAAAAAGAAAGAAAAAGATAAATTATAAATATAAGTTGACAAGTACTTAGAGGGTATTCATTAAGGGCTTTCAATGCGGATTCAAATCATTGTCTTTTGTTCAATAATTATTGTTTGTCTACTCTGTATGTTACAATGTTAGAAATTTTGAAAGATTCAAAAAGAAAAAAAAATCAGGAATGCGGGGCCAAAGTGGTGGAGTAGTTAGACACTTCCGATGGACTCTCTTACAACAAAGACCCAAAAAAACAAGTGATTCGATTATATATGGCAGTTTGGGAGCCCTGAACATCAAAGGCAGAGTTGAGGAACTCGACTGAGTGGCGGGGGAGGGAGAGATGGTTTGGAAGCAGCAAGGAGTTGCCAGACCTGACCTGGTGAGAGCCTGAGCCCTTCAGGCCTGATCAGCTCAGGCGTGAGCGGTGTGAGGTGGGCAAGCAGCCATGAGGTGTGCTTTCTGCACTGGGAGAGACCCAGCCACTGAGAGTCTACACGTCCACCCAGAACCAGTGAGAAGCAGCCCTCGATCTAGCGAAAGATACGTAATTGCGTATGGCCTACCGTGTGGATCGAAAACACCCCCCTTAGGGAAAAACCTCTCTCCCATTTACCTCCCCGCTCCCTGTTCTGCCCTGGGTCCTGGACCGGCTTCAGCAATTGCAGAGTCCCCTGGGCTGGAAGTAGGATCCATCACACGCCCGGAGCCATTCTCCCTGCCTTGGACAGTGAACAAATAAACAGGGGAAAAAATAAACTGCTGGCTCCCCTAAGCCAGGAACCCAGGGTAGGCACAGCTCCTTTGCCTAGGCACGGGCATAAGGGATCCACAGACTTTGAGTGCCTTTCCCCCTGCATAGACTTGTGTGGGCCCATCTCAGCAGCATAGGCCCTCATTACCACAGTACAGCAGGGTATATACCTGAAGTCTAACTTGAACTGTTTCAGCTGAGAACTGGCAGGTTCTTGACATTTGACACTGCTCTGCCCATTAAGTAGGGTCTTCACCTACCACATCAGGGGCCACACCACCTAGCCACCGGCAATAGGGTCCCATGAATAAGAGGTGTCCCCTAGTCCTTACAGCCAAAAGCATTAGGTGCTTATCGTCTGGCTGCAAAACCCACCCACCTACGTTCTCTAGGGAACAGGGACACACCTTCCTCCTGGACACTCGGAGGTGACCGTCAGCCCCCTGCTTTGCTCAGAGTGTGTCCCACTGCTACAGCCAGATGCCTGTGCCTACACCAATCACCCATGCCTATCTAGGACTGTAAGTGAGAGCCTACACCACACACTTAGTGGCCATCTACCTGGGCACCTGAGCTGAATCCATAGAGGAGAAGTAGGCGGACTCGTGAGCTCACATACCTAGTAACAGATCTAACCACCTAGTGACAGGACATTAGAGCTTCAAAGCTGCCAATAATCAAACTAGCTCATAGGAGCAGCCTATTTGGGCATATCAAAACCAAACAAGAAGCTAGGACACAGTAAGCAAATATAAAATAAGTACATATAATAACTTATTGATTGCTCAGAGACAACAGTAAATATGAAATCACATAAAGAGGCAATTCATGATGGCTTCAGCAAGCTCCCAAAATTTTCCAGAGGAGGAAGATTTCTTGGAATTGATGGAGGCAGCATACAAAAGATTAATATACAGAACTCTTCAAGACATTAGGAAGGAAATTAAGCAAAACACAGACCACGCAATAGAGGAAATTAAAAACATTAGAGAAGAGCATAATGACAAATTTAACAGGCTGCAAGAATCCATAAAGAGACAGCAAACAAATCCAGAAGATTAACAATAAAATTTCAGAATTAGACAACTCAATAGAAAGTCATAGGAGCAGAATTGAGGCAGTGGAAGTCAGAATTAGTGAGACTGAAGATAAAGCACTTGACACCAACTTATTTGAGGAAAAGTCAGATAAAAGGAGTAAAAAACACGAAGAAACCCTAAGAATTATGTGGGACTCTGTCAAGAGAAATAACCTACAAGTGATTGGAGTAGCAGAACAGGGGGGGATAACAGAAAATACAGAGAGAACTGTTGAAGATTTGTTGGCAGAAAACTTCCCTGATATCGTGAAAGATGAGAAGATATCTATCCAAAATGCTCGTTGAACTCCACGTAACGTAGATCCTAAAGGAAAGTCACCAAGACATATTATAATCAACCTTGCCAAAACCAAAGATAGAGAATTTTAAGAGTGGCTAGATATAAAAGAAAAGTCATCCACAAAGGAGAGTCAATAAGAATATGGTTGGACTACTCAGCAGAAATCATGGAGACAAGAAGGGAATGGGATGACGTATATACAGCCTTGAAGGAAAAAAGTTGCCAGCCAAGAATTATATATCCAGCAAAACTGTCTCTCAAATATGATGGCGAAATTAGGGCATTTCCAGATAAACAGAAGTTTAGGCAATTTGCAAAAACCAAACCAAAATGACAAGAAATGCTAAAGGGAGTCCTCCAGTTAGAAAATCAGTAACATCAGATAACAACCCAAGACTAGAACACAGGACAGAGCAACTGAATATCAACCCAGATAGGGAAGACAGAAAAGTAGATCAAAGCTAAAACACAGAAAATAGGGAAACAGATGTCAATACGTAAAAGATGACAACATTAAAACAAAAGAGGAACTTATAAAATGAGACATACATTTTTCATATGGAGAGGAACTCAAGGTGATATAAAGAAATAAAAGTCTGGTACAAACTTAGAAAAACAGGCGTAAATATTAAGGTAACCACAAAGGAAACTAACAATTCTACAAGTCAAAATAAAAAACTAGAAAAATATATAAAGACTCAGCAAACACAAAATCAACAACAATGAAAAAGATGAAAAGAAAATACATTAAAAAAAATGACTCAGCACAGAAAATTAAGTGGAGCAAAGAAACTGTGAACAACACACAAAATAAGACATCAGAATGACAGCACTAAACTCATACCTATCAATAATTACGCTGAATGTAAATGGACTAAATCCACCAATAAAGAGACAGAGAGTGGCAGAGTGGATAAAAAGCATGATCTGTCTATATGCTGCCTACAAGAGACACACCTTAGACTTAAAGATACAAACAAACTAGAACTCAAAGGATGGAAAAAATATATCAAGCAAACAACACTCAAAAAAGAGCAGTAGTGGCAATATTAATCTCTGATAAAATAGACTTTAAAGTAAAATCCACCACAAAGGATAAGGAAGGACACTGTATAATGATTAAAGGGTCAGTACACCAGGGGGACATAACTATAATATATTATTATATATTTACACACCCAACGACAGGGCTCCAAAATACATAAAACTCCAACAGCACTGAAAAGAGAGATAGACAGCTCCACAATAGTAGTAGGAGTCTTCAACACACCACTTTTGGTGAAGGACAGAACATCCAGAAAGAAGCTAAGTAAAGACATCGAAGAGCTAAATGCTACAGTCAACCAACTTGATCTCATAGACATATACTGAACATTCCACCCAACAGCAGCCAAGTATACTTTCTTTGCCA